GGAGGAGGAGGAGGAGGAGGAGGAGGAGGAGGAGGAGATTGGATTTATACCCTGCCCTTCACTACCCAGAGGAGTCTCAGAGCGGCTTACAATCTCCTTTCCCTTCTCCTCCCCGCAACAGACACCCTTTGTGGTAGATGGGTCTGAGAGAGCTCTCTCGAGAACTGCTTGTGAGAGAACAGTTCTGGAAGAACTTGTGACTGACCCAAGGTAGCACCAGCAGCTGCATGTGAAGTGGGGAATCAAACCTGCTTCTCCCAGATTAGAGTCCTCCTAACCACCAAAAAGGCTTAATATAATCAAAAAAACCTGCCTTCAGATTGCCCCCTGAGGGCAGCCAGCCAATCTGGAGCTGGGAGGTCACTGGAACTCACCAATCACATGGGGGCTGGGAGTGGCTTAGGTGTATATAGTTAGGGCAGCTGCCCCGTGTAAAGCATTCCTGTTGAGATGCAATGAAGTGCTGTTTACTGAAATCACTCTGCCTTCGCCTCTGCCATGTTAAACCCAATTTAACAGATCGGTTCCCCTGGAGAAAATAACTAAAGACTAGACACTATAGCATTATACCCCACTGAGGTCCTCTCCTCCCCAAACCTTCCCGAGGCTGGCTCCACCCCCAAATCTCCGATAACTTCTGGAACTGGAGTTGATAGCCCCCTCCTGTCCTTTTTGGTGTTCAAGTGCTACTCAGAGGAGTTGAAAATGCATCTTAAGAGCGTTTTCTTCTTACATGTGACTTTGCATAAATCCAGCGCTGCCTCTGAGCATTTAGATGTTCCCAGCAAGAACTAACTCAGAATCCCTGGTGATTACAAACCTAGGGCGATTCTGCATCTAGCATTCGCTCCATGTTTTCTCTCCTGGGAGGAAAAAGAGCAGCTCAAAACCACATCCAAGATACCTCAGGGCAACGCTGTCGTACTGACTGCAAAGTCACCCCTGAACGGCCATAAAACAACCATAAATCTATGACAGAGGTCAATTCGGGGGGGATCGTGGGGGATCGCAGTTCCCCCGGGTGAGGTACGGGGGGTGGGGCACATGACAAAGCCCTGCCCCCTGCTTCCAGCCGCCCCGCTTCCAGCCCTCATTCAGCCAGGAGGAGGCAGGAGAAGAGGGAGGGTAAGTTGCTTCCTCCCCGCCTCTCCCCACCCCTGCCTGCCTGGGGCCAGGGAGGGCCTTGGCGGGGCTTCCTCATACTCCCGCCGGCCTTGCAGGTCCACCGCTGGGCCCCTGATGGCAGGGGGTGTGGGATATGCTAATGAGTTATGCTAATGAGTTTCCCTAGCTCTTTTTTATTGCAGAAGGTGCAATAAAATCCAGTGATCAAAGAAAGCGAAAGCGGCATGGAGCGTGGAGGCGACCGTGAAATCCGATGATCAAATGAAGTGAGAGCAGTAGGGTTGCAGGCTGGAGAGCTCCTGCTATTACAACTGGTGTCCAGGCGGCAGAGATCAGTTCCGCTGGAGGAAAAAGCCACTTTGGAGGGTGAACTCTCGGGTATTATGCCCTACCGAAGTCCCTCCCCTCCCCAAGCCCTGCCCTCCTCAGGCTCCACCCCCAAAATCTCCTGGAATTTCTAGGGTTGGCAGCCCTAGAAAGCAGCGTGCAATGCAGAGGGGAATATCTGTTCCAGCGTGGGTTTCGTAAAACGACGGAGGGAAAAGCCAATACAGAATCAGCCCTAGTAAGCTAAAATTCTGGAACTGCACTTCAGTCTTTGAGAACTAAAACAAAGCCCACCCCGTTTTCTCTTCCTTAACGTTTTGGCTGTATGAATGAAAATGGGACTGAAAGGGGGAGGGGGAATTGTGCACATTTTTGGAAATGTATGGGTTTCCAAGGCCTCAGATTCCAGCCATTATAGGGTTAACTTGTTTACCTTTCTATGCTATTGTGTAGACCAGTGGTTCTCAACCTTCCTAATGCCGCGACCCTTAATATAGTTCCTCATGTTGTGGTGACCCCCAACCATAAAACTATTTTCGTTGCTACTTCATAACTGTAATTTTGCTACTGTTATGAATCGTAATGTAAATATCTGACATGCAGGATGTATTTTCATGGTTACAAATTGAACATAACTAAAGCATAGTGATTAATCACAAAAACAATATGTAATTATTTCTGTTTTCCTATGGTCTTAGGCGACCCCTGTGAAAGGGTCGTTCAACCCCCAAAGGGGTCGCGACCCACAGGATGAGAACCGCTGGTCTAGACTGACCTGGAAGGAAAACCTGGCAGACACCCAATGTGGGAAAAGCTGGCGAGTATGAGTGTGTTGGCAAACAATGATTGGTTACTGTTTTCAGGTGACTTCCTTTGTAGGGGCCGAGAAGAAGCTATTTGTCCACCATTGCTTGAGAAGTGTGTGACTATGCTTTGAGAAGTAAGCAGCAGAAATGTAGCTCTTAGATGTTTTGTTTATTTGTAGTTTTTCTGTATACCCTTTACCCTTAGAAATAAAGTTTTTTAAACAGAAAGAAAGTCTCCTCATTCAGTGAAGCAAGATCCATTGATACTCTGAACAATTTAAGCATTTTTGAATATTTTTCCAACACACATGAAGTAATCTTGTGAATTCTCCCTCCGCGTGACAACTTACAAGCAATGGAGGAGCCATTCTGTTTGCTGCCTGGTACCTCCGCGCCATTTTCATCTACACACCAGCATGAAAGCTGAAGGTTGTCACACTGGACGTTCCTAGGAAAACAAAACAGAGATTTGAAGAATTATAACGTACGGGTCTTAGACACAGAATAAAAAGTTCTTAAACCTTGCCCGTTGCAAGTATCCCTAATGGCCATCACAAACCTTCAAAACTGGAAAGATAAAATGGCAGAATATGCCATTATGGCCAAATTAACAAATTATATAAATGACCAAAGAATTTGGGGGGGGGGGGATGGGGAAATTATTATGGTTATTATAAGTAAAGATGAAAAAGGAGTGATTTGTATTAAAGCTACTGTGATGTTATTCTTGGGGTTCATTAATATAACGATGGCTTAGGCACTAATACAACTAAGGTTGGTATAGGTAATGTTATAATGTTATTGTTGTTAGCCATTCAGTCGTGTCAGACTCTTGGCGATTCTATGGGCCAGCTCTCTCCGCGTTTTTCAATCCTGTAATAATGGTACAAGTATTAGAAGTATTTTCTGAAATAATGCTATGCACAGGACCATAAGATCAATTTTGAATGTATATATGAATGTATCTTATTGTTATACTTTTTATTTTTGGAAATGCTCTTAAAATGTATTATTTGCCTTTCTAATTATAGTTTGGTTATGACAATTGTGGTAGTATTAAGATGTAACGGAACATATAGTGTAACTTTTGTCAGTATTAATAGTAACTAGTGGTATTAATTCTAGGCTCTAATGATAAGTATATATAACATAATTTTTTTGAACATTATTACTGTGTATTTTAAATGTCTATGTCAAATGTTCTATATTTACTCTGATGCTGATCATCCTTGTAATGAATAAGTTACATAAGAACATAAGAGAAGCCAGTGCTGGATCAGGCCTATGACAGAGGCCTATGACAGTCCAACACTCTGTGTCACACAGTGGCCAAAAATACCAGGTGCCATCAGGAGGTCCAGCAGTGGGGCCAGGAGAACATAAGAGAAGCCAATGTTGGATCAGGCCAATGGCCCATCCAGTCCAACCCTCTGTCACACAGTGGCCAAAAATACCAGGTGCCACCAGGAGGTCCACCAGTGGGGCCAGGACACAAGAAGCCCTCCCACTGTTGCCTCCCCAAGCACCAAGAATACTGTGCATCACCTGCCCCAGACTGAGAGTTCCTATCTATAAGAACATAAGAGAAGCCAATGTTGGATCAGGCCAATGGCCCATCCAGTCCAACCCTCTGTCACACAGTGGCCAAAAATACCAGGTGCCACCAGGAGGTCCACCAGTGGGGCCAGGACACAAGAAGCCCTCCCACTGTTGCCCCCCCCCCAAGCACCAAGAATACAGAGCATCACTTGCCCCAGACTGAGAGTTCCTATCTATAAGAACATAAGAGAAGCCAATGTTGAATCAGGCCAATGGCCCATCCAGTCCAACCCTCTGTCACACAGTGGCCAAAAATACCAGGTTCCACCAGGAGGTCCAGCAGTGGGGCCAGGACACTAGAAGACCTCCCACTGTTGACCACCCCCCCAAGCACCAAGATGACAGAGCATCCCTTGCCCCAGACTGAGAGTTCCTATCCATTGTTCTCATGAGAAATGTCCTTGGAGGGAAGTCTGTGCCTGGCCAGATAGTGGTTGTATATCTTTCAGAACCACTGTAGTATTGCTGACGTTGAATGTGTGGAATTTGGGGTTGCAACCAGTGTTCCCTCTAAGCGGAGTTAGTGTGAGCTAGCTCATGTTTTTTTAGTCTCCGGCTCACACTTTTTTGTCTCAGCTCAGGAAGGATGGCTCCAGAGCAAACTAGGTTATGCAGCAGCCAAATCACTCTCTCACAACTTTAATGCTAGTAGCTCACAAAGTAGAATTTTTGCTCACAAGACTCCACAGCTTAGCGGGAACATTGGTTGCAACTATACTTTGTGTTTCCCGCCTTGCAAATCAGTCCTAACAAAGAGTTTGAACCCATAGCATGTCATATCTCTAAAATAAAACATTCACCGAAAAGTGTGTGTGGAGAGTGATTTGACTGGGAACCTGACACCTGCCCCCAATCCGTGGGGCAAATGTGTAAGACTTGCTTGGTTGGGCAACGAGAGGGAGTCTGGTCTTTTCCTCACCTTCTACTCCTGAGTATTTTTACACAGGTGTCTGATACATTTTACCAGGGTATTTCCTTCAGACATTACAAGGCTTTTGTAGACTTTGCTCTCTGGCATTTGCTCTCTGACACCTGAGAATTGAGCAGTCTGGATTTTAGCCCAGCTTGTGGGGAGGGAAGAGGTGCCTTAGTCGTCTCACTGAAAAGATTATTGACTTCATTTCTACCCCATCTTTCTCCTCAGTGGGGATCCACGGCTGCTTACATCGTTCTTCTTCCTCCATTCCCCCCCCACAACAACCCCATCAGGTAGGATAAACATACTGGATGACCATATGGAACGGAGGTCTGTGAGTGGCTCTTAGTCACAAGGTGTTGATGGAACACTATGTCCGGGGCAGTGATACTCTGTATTCTGGGTGCTTGGGGGGCCACAGTGGGAGGGCTTCTGGAGTTCTGGCCCCGCTGGTGGACTTCCTGATGGCACCGGGGTTTTGGCCACTGTGTGACACAGAGTGTTGGATGGATGGGCCATTGGCCTGATCCAGCATTGGCGTCTCTTATGTTCTGGCCCTGCAGGTGGACCTCCTGATGGCACCTGGGTTTTGGCCACTGTGTGACACAGAGTGTTGGACTGGGACATTGGCTTGATCCAGCATGGCTTCTCTTATGTTCTGGCCCTGCTGGTGGACCTCCTGATGGCACCTGGGCTTTGGCCACTGTGTGACACAGAGTGTTGGACTGGATAGACCATTGGCTTGATCCAGCATGGCTTCTCTTATGTTCTGGCCCTGCTGGTGGACCTCCTGATGGCACCTGAGTTTTGGCCACTGTGTGACACAGAGTGTTGGCTGGATAGGCCATTGGCTTGATCCAGCATGGCTTCTCTTATGTTCTGGCCCCACTGGTGGTTCTCTTGATGGCACCTGGGTTTTGGTGACACAGAGAGTTGGCTTCTCTTATGTTCTTATGATAGGCTGAGTGTGTGATGGGCCCAAGGTCACCCAACCAGCTTCCATGGCCAAGTAGAGATTCAAACCTGGGTCTCCAAGAACCTGGTTCAACCCTCTCACCACCACACCACACTGGTTTCACGGCATCCAATCGTTACCTGAACTGTCCATCTTCCAAGCACTGAGGGACGTAATCTTCACCACGTCGAAAGGCTTTTTCCCGCCGAAGTTCACAGGGACGAAGAGGCTGACTTTCTGCCTGGTATTCTGAAAGCCGCAAGAACATACATTTATTTGCCACATCACCCATATCTGCACAGCAATGTGTCTGTTCATGAGGCCTTTTGCCTGTTATAACAAGAGCCAGCGGAAAGCAGCCCTGATTCAACCAAGGACAGGGTTTTGAATGATGCCTTTAACAAATTAGGCAGATCATGAGAGGGAGGGCAGGGAGGGTTGCCTCAGTGCTTAGTTCTCGTGGCCCTTTCTTACACACCCAGGGAAATGCTGATTGCCACTTTGGGGGTCAGGAAGCCATTTTTGTCCAGGCCAGTTTGGCTGGGGATCCTGGAAGGGGTTGTTTGCCATCTTCTGGGCATAGAACTGGGTTCAATGGGGGGGGG